CCATGGCATCGGGAGGGAGGCAGGGCCAGATCTTCCTGGAATGTGACTGTGAAATATCACCCACTTGCTAACCCCAGACAGCTCAGAGTGACTCGCCACCCTCGGCCCGCACCCACGGCCCTGGGACCTGGAGGGGGGACATTCAGGGGTGACATTTTATTTCTCCCCAGCCAAGCAGAGAGGACAACGAGTCCTGGACCTGTGGTTCAGAGGTACTGCTGGGGCAGACCTTCAGTTTCTCAGTGCCTGGCCCTGGCCCTGGTCTTTCCCCTAGATTCCAGGGTGACAGGGCCGCACAGGGACACAGAGGGGAGAGACTAGATCAGGAGTCGAGAGCCCTGGGCCCAGTTTCGGCCAGAACGGTCACGTAACTCCAGGCTGCCGTCCTAGTCTGTGCAGTACTTTCAACAAGGCACTACTATCGGCATTTCTGGAGTCTCTGAGTGGCACAAATGGTTAAGTGCTTGGCTACTAACTGAAAAGCTGGTGGATCTGAAGGAAGGCCTGGCGATCTACTTCTGAAAGGTCACAACCATTGAAAACTCTATGCACAGTTCTACTCTGAAACATATGGGTTCGCCATGAGACGGAATCAACTCTATGGCAACTGATTTGGTTGTTTTTTGTTTCATAGCATTTTTGGTGGGCTGCTATGCAGGCCTGGACCACTCCCTAGTCTCTGTTGCCGGCTCCACCCAACCAATGCCATCTTTAGTAAGGTCCAATGTAAGGGAACCAGTCATTCTCCCCGGCCCCTGCTGACCCAGCTCTCCCCCTGAGCCTGCAGGAAGCCCCATCCCTTTCCCGGTTTAGGGGCTGGGAGGGGGGCTCTGAGGCTGCGATTCCTGTGCACAGGGGCTTGTCTGTTTCAGGTGGCTTGTCTCCGGCAATGACAGGAAGGGAATGCCAAATTAACGCTGGGTAATAAATTCTGCAAAAGCCAATAAAACCAAAGCAGGGGGATAGATGGGAAGAACTGCAGCAACTGATTAAACATTTTTGTTGGCAGTCACAGACACATGGCACATTCCCCAGGGTTTGCATCAAGGAGACATCTGGCCGCAGCCCATGCGTCTGTGGGAGGGAATCCCAACGCCCAGAGACGTGGGAGCCAGGACGGTGGGACCCTCAAGGGGGTGGCAAGCTAGGGAGCAGGTGCTCTGATTTTGGGGGGCTGAGGCACCTCCAGGACGGTGGTCTCAGTGAGCTGCTCAGGGCAAGGTAAGGGAGGGGGTGTGTTGGGATGTGCCCCCAGTCCGAGCCTCAGGCCCAAGCTCTCTGGCCATCTCCATGGGCTGCAGGAATCAGGCCTGAGGAAGAGAACATTCTGTGCTTGGAACGTCTGCTGCTCAGCCCCACCACGACCCACACCCAGACTCAGGATTCTAGACTCAAGGCCAGAGGCCCAGCCCTCCCCTGATACTTAGCGGGAGAGATGGAGGCCAGAGCCAGGAGACAGGGCCAGAGCTGGCCCGGAAGAGGTGGCTGGGATTCCTGATTCCTGACTCCTTGGGGTCCCTGATCACACCAAGCATTCTCTGCCTCTGTGCTCCTGTCCCCAGGGCACCCTTCCTCCCTGCAAGCCCCACTGTGTGCGGGGACCCAGAGCTTTCGGTGCCCCCAGTGTAGCAACGCTGTCTACCTGTGCCGGTGCTGTGAGCTGTGTGTCCTCTCGCAGACTCCGTCTTACTCGTTTCTGTCTTTCTCCCTGTGTCCGCGGAACCATCCCGAAAGGCCTCACTGGGGCTCTGTGTGGGGAAGTGTGTACCTGTGGTAGTGGGGGAAGTGACCGATGGGTGGGGTGTGACAGTGGTCAGCTGACTTGGGCCAGTCCTCGGCTCTGTTAGGTTGTTGCTGTTAGCTGCCATTAAGTCGGCCCCCAACTCATGGCCAGCCCATGAGTTACAGAGGGTTTTCTCGGCTATAATCTTTATGAAGGCAGTTCACCAGGCCTTTCTTCCACAGAGCCGCTGGGTGGGTTCAAACCACCAACCTTTAGATTCGCAGCTGATCACAAACCGCTTGTGCCACCCAGGCTTCTTTTTCTCTGCTCTGCTAGGAAGAACTGGTTTTCCGCACAAGCTCTCACGTTCAGGGTCCTTCAATGGTCCCCACTGCCTGTGGGATAAAGCTCAGCCTTCTGGGCGTCAGGGTACAGCTGCCCCAGAAGGCCCTGCCTGCAGCCACCCCTGGTTGATGTCCCTGAGACACAGGCCACGGTGTCATTGCTACAGCCAAAGAAGTGTCACTCATCCCTGTGTAAAACCAGATCCTGCTCTCCCCAAACTGTTCAGTACCCACACTAGGGCCATTTCACTCCCGCGCTAACACCTAGTCCCCCAGAGCCTCAAGTCAGCCTTTCTCCTCTTACCTCACACATTAGAGATACACAGGGACTTCATCTTTATCAATTGACTCTAGCAAGACTAAGGGGGCATCCATGGCTCCCTGATTCTACTACCCCAGGTGCATGCACCTTTGTTCATGGGAGTGGGGCAGGTAGGGGAGCACATCTCTTGGCCTAGCCAGACCCCATGCCCCCTTGCAGAACACAGGTCAAGTCCACTGCCCAGGCCTGTGACTCAATCCTCTCTGCCCTCTGCATGCCTCAGCCTGAGCGTCAGGAGATAGCACACTCAGGATCACAACTCCAGCATCCCATCTGCTCTCCCCACTTCCAGGCTTCCCAGGGCTTCAGCCTTGCCTCCTGCCTGCTCCCTACTGGCCACACGAGCCACTTGCTCTCCTGCAATTACGCCACGCTCAGTCTCATCTTCACAAATGTCACTGCCCACCCTTTGCCTGCTCACCTGCAGGGGTCACCTGCTCACCTGCATGGGTGGCCTGCTCTGGCCAAGCCTCCCTGGCTGGGTAAGCAGTGCTCCTTCATGCACCCATAGTTCCTCCCTTTGCTAGCTCCTACCCCAGAACCCAGCTCCCTGTATTTTGTCTCCCTGTTTGCAGCCTTGAGGGCTTGCAGAGAGCCTGACACCAGTAAATGTTTAGAGAAGCAAAGCTTGGTTTCCCCAGTACAGGAGCTTCCCCAAAGCGGGTGTTACAGGGCCCAAGTCTTTACCTACCTCTGAGAAGAACACAGAGAGGATGACCAGACTGATCCAGTGAATTACGCTGGCAAACTGGAACGCACTGGAAACTGCAACAAACCCAAAAATAAAGGCCCAGTTCAGGAGCAAGGAATTAGGTGCATCAACAGAGGGGGCTTCGTAGCATGGAGGCAGAACTCTGGGAGCCTGGGGCCTTCTTGCATGAACATGAGATCTAGTTGAAATCAGGTCTGAGAACATCAAGGGCAGCTTTAGGTGGGGACTGTGATGGAGGTGGTGGCAGGTTTGGGGGCCGACAATCAAGGCTTTTCTGCTTTTCACCATCCCCGGGGGCTGCCTCCTTCTGCCACACAGGCTGCCTCTCTAAGTTCCTACTCATCCCATCAGCCTTGGTGGTCTTTTGCAGTAGCCTTACTCCAAGACAGGTACCCTCTACATGGGGCTCGGGAAGCCACCTGTGCTTTCAGAGATGGGGAGGCAGCTTCAAGCCAAGTCTAGATAATCTTTCAGAAACCCACACCCACTGCTCACCACCAAAGCTCTGAGCACTGCTACTGGGGCTTCAGGAAAGATTGCTTTGACTTTTCATCTCTGAGTGGCAGAGGTGGTGGTGTCAGCCACTGCATTTTGGAGAGAAGCTAGAGCAAGGACTGGAGGATGGAGCTAGGACGGCTGGGGCATCAGTTTCTTGACAGTGGCAGGGCAAGGAGGCTGGTGCTCTGGAAAACTTCTGAGTTGCTCACTTGCCCGTGTGTAGATGGGAAGAGCCATCAGTCACTGAGAGAGCTCACTCTACCCTCCGCCAGTTGATCCGTAGAGTTAAGGCGTTATCTCCTGAAGGCCCTTGTTAAACTCCAGGAACCCATGACCAGCCTTCAAAACTCTAGCATGGCATAGCTTATCAGCTTGGGAGGTAAAAAGTAGTGTACTGGGCCCAAGTCAAGGGTCAGGTGAGTTTTGATGGAGAGAGGGTGGAAGGGGATGCTCCCCAGGGAAAAAACCAGTTGCTACAGAGTTGATTCTGGCTCATGGTGACCCCATGTGTGTCACAGTAGAACTGTACTCCATGGGGTTTTCAGTGGCTGATTTTTCAGAAGTAGATGCCAGGCCTTTCTTCCAAGGAGCCTCTAGGTGGACTGAACCTCCAAATTTCAGTTACCAGCTGAACACATTAATCATTTGTACAACCCAGGGACTCCCCAGAGGGTAGGCCTAACAGAGACACTCGTGGGCATCCTGGGGCAGGCGAGCAGAGCTGAGGCAGGGAGCAAGGTACACCAATGCTGCTGAGGACATGCATGCTTTGCCTCCCTGTTGGGCTCCAGTCAGGCCTGCTTGACATGCTGCTCAGAATTCCCTGGGGGCCAAAGGAAAGTACCCAGCACCTTTAGGGAGAGGGCTGACTTCACAGAGACAAACCTACAGTCTCTCCCAGTGCTCTAGGATCTGCGAGCCCTAAAGGTAGGTAAAAATTAGGTCCTGGAACATATGAGAGGGGAAGAAGGCTGCAATACCAGGTTCCAGGTGGGAGACATTGGGGTGCCCTGGCTTTGGGCCAAGATGACCCCTAGAAGATGAGCCTTGGAGATACTTGTGGATTCTTGTCGGGCCAGGCCATGTGAATACCAGTGGGAACCAAGAGGCTGAGAACTGAGTGACTCTGAAAAGACCTCCAGATGATTCTGAAAACAAAATCTCTCCCCATTATTTCTCAAATGAATTCCTGTGCCTTTTTTTACGGTTTGCTTTAGAAGAGCAATAAATCTTTGATAGTGCGTTTTATGGAATTTAAGATGCCTTTTATGAGCTGCTATTGGATCTCCCACCAAAATCAATCTCCTGGATACTTAATTTTAAGCAAAATTCCACTGTCTGCTGGGTTCTCAGTTCTACTCAATGCCTTGTCACAACCTGAGCAGCCAAGGGCCCTGAGTGCAATCCACCATAGGGGAAGAAAGGCTCTGTTATGGTTACATCTCATAAAAAGCAGACAGTATGGATGAGCGGGAGGGAAAGTATACAACATGGTTTAATTGAAGACAGGTTGAGTGTAAAACCAGCGCCGGTCACTTTATGCTGGAAGATACTTTCATTGGAACCAAGGGGCCATCAGCTACATAAAACCCAACTAAGCTTATCAGACAAAAGCAATTCTGTGCTCACTGTCATCCTCTCTTAGAGAGCAGAGAAGGCTAATGGGACTTAGTACAGAGGATCCAGTAAAGGAACTGGGGGCATTTGAAAAAACAAGCCCCAGGATGCCTGTGTGGGTTTGGGGTGGCTGGATCCATAGGCCTAGATTTTGCCATTGGCAAGAAAGGAAATCTTTCTCAGGCCAATCATTTTACCTCTTTTTTATCTGCACTTGAAGGCATCAACCTTCAGAATCAGGGAAATACAGTGAACCAGGAGCTCTATCCAGAAACCACTCACTCATCCAAAGCCAAGAGTCAGGACCCTTGGCCTCCCTCCCCTTTGTGCACCAGACAGGGTTCTGCGAGGATGGGGGAGGAAGCAGGCTCTCCCCTTTGACAGCCATGTTGTCTCAGGACATCCAGAAGGACAGAGAGGCTCCTATAAATGAGAAACTAGGGTGAACTCCAAGAGGAACTATGGTGGAAAGAAAACTGGCTAAGCTATTAAATGATCTGGGTGGTTGAAGTCCCAGCTCCAACACCTCTTACCTCAGGCAAGTTGTCTAACTTCTCCGAGTCTAACTTTCCTTGTCTATAAAATGGGATAATATCAGTATTGCCCATCTTATAGGGTTGTCATTAAGGTTAAAAGTACTTTAAAAACAATCATGATATATATAAATAAGGTCACTAACTTATGGCTAGATAAAAATTCAAGGAATCATCATCATCATTGTGGTTGCTGTCCTTATCAGTCACAAATGGGAACTCTTGAAACTACAGAGAATTCCAACCTGGAAAATTCCAAATGGAACAATAAAAAACACATACAGGGGTCCCCAACATTTTTTATCACATCAGTTTCTGATCATGGAATGACAGGAAGGAAGACTCCACATTGGGTGGAGAGGGGCAACGTGATGCTGGGGTGACAGAGAGAGAAGCTGCCAGATGCATTTCCTCCCCAGTGGTAATCCCATGGGTCATAGGGCCAGTGGTTTGGCAGCGGCATCGAGCTGGGGATAAGACCTTAAGATCCCCCATAGATCACAATCTGCTGGTTGGGGACCCCTGATGGATGCAGACGCACATTTGAATATTGACATCATATGTATTTGCATAGGTATCTCTCTTGCTACTCACACTGGAGAAGCTTTATATCTATTAGAAGTTCCAGAGTCAGGAGAATCACCACCAATATTACACAGGCTACCAGGAAACTGTTGAGACTTGCACTGAGCAAAAATACCTGCCACACGGCTGCTCTCTTCCCACAGCACGGCTTCAGCCAGTTAGACCTGTGGGGACAAAAGTCGGGAGAAGAGGGGTTGAGAGTGGAAAGAGATGACAACAGAGGAGGTAGAGATCCTGGCCAGAGTTTGAGCCCTGTTCTCAAACCAACCAGCATCACTGCTCGCAGGTTCTACTCAGCTCTGCTTCATGAGGAAACATGATCTGATTCAAGAGGTCACTTGGTATAATCATAAAGAGCAAATATATCTCATTAAGAGATAGCCCTGGGGAATCCTGATCAAAAGGGAGAAAATGCAGAACAGATTTTCAAATTCTCATGGAATCCAGACTTTCTGGAGCTATGGAGGCTAGACGAACCCCTGAAACTATTGCCCCAAAACATTCTTTAAACCTTAAACCAAAGATATTCCTTAAAGGGTTCTTAAAACCAAACAATAGTTTACCTTAACTAGTAAAGAATATCTGCCTTGAGCATTGTGTTCTTTTAAGATCTATCTATATGGGATCAAATTGACAACAGCAACTTGAAAGATTAGATAGGAAACTTAGGGGGCAGTGAGTTTATGTTAATGGGGGAGGAACAACTTGGAAAAGGAAGGTGAAAATAGTTGCACAACTCCAAGAATGTAATTAATGTCACTGAACTGTACATGTAGAAACCGTTGAGTTGGTATATGTTCTACTGTGAATATTCCCAACAACAAAAAAAATAAAATAAACTATTTATATATATAAAAAGAGATGGCCCTGGGTTTGTATTCTAACCTTGGCAACTCATAGCATCTCTCTGTGCTTCAGACTCATCTTTAAAATGTGTATAAAACCCCATATCTCATAGGCTTGTTGTAAAGACTGAAGCAGATCACAAATGTTAGTAGAAAGCCTGGTTATATGGTAAGTGCTGCATGAAAATTAGCTGTTATTATTACACATTATATAATATTATACGTATATATTATACTACATAATAATATATTTCTATAGTTTCAGAATCTAACAGTCTGTGACATTTAGTAGACCCTTAACATGCCTTTAATAAATGCTCCATGAATTAATAAATAATGAATAACTGAATGAATTTTCCATGGATTAGATACTTTTCTCAAAGTAGGTTGTATGGAACTCTAATTCCACAGAATGTTAATAGTTGTTGTTTGATACAAAGTTTCCATAGTTGACTAAGTTTTATGAAATTTAGGTCAAAGTTAAATTGATATTTTTCTCTTTAGGATATCTGAGTGTTTTCAATATACATTATCATGCCCCAAAAGGGATTACAGTGTCAGTGTTTCCCAAACTCACTGGACCACAGCACTCTTTTGCCACAAAGCACATGGTAAGACTGGTGTCCCATGGACCACCTTTTGGGAAATCCTTGACGAGATGATTTTGAACATTCACAGCAGAGATGAGTAGGCTTGGAAATGGGGAAGAGACTCAGAATATCAGAGTTGGGTGGGCCCCTTAGGGCACTTGATCTATTCTCCTCAGGAAAACAAGAGCCCTAGAAAGAGCAGTACCTTTAAGGGGGGTGGGGAGTATAGGACTGGGGATGCTGAAGTCAAACCTCATCGACTTGGTAGTTTAGTTATGACCTAGAACTTCTTGCCCTCCCTTGCTGAGGAAGAATTAGGCATCTTGAAGTAGAACACAGCACTAGCTGGGGAGTCCTTATTTATGGCTCTGCCTTCAGATGCCCTGGGACCATGCACAAAAGTACGTCACCACTCTGGGCCCTATCCTCCTTCGGATGGCTAACTTTATGTGTCAACTTGGCTAGGCTATGGTATCCAGTTGGTATCCTCTGGGAGTTCTGTTTTCTCTTCTTTGCCCTTCACTTTGCCTGTTAACACCCCCACCCCCGGCTTTGAGCACAGCCTCTTCAAGGTCCCCAAGGAGACTAGACTCTAGCTCTACATCCTACCTAAAACCCAGTGGGATTGTCTGTGGCTCCTAAAACTGATGTCATTTGATTGTCATTTGGAATTTAAGCCATGTGCCTTCCTGCAGCTATAAATAAAAAGGGCAGCTGGAAGGTTCTTTGCCTGGGGTGGCATCACATTTGAGGGGGGAGCAGGAAGTCTCTTGCCTGCATGGCCAATGCAGGCGGTGGGGGGAGGTGGGGCATCTGTTCACTTCCATATTTTGTGCATCCAGTTAGAGTGGGGTGTGCCCCTAAGGGAATTGCTCTTTCTACCCCAAACGGAGAGTCTCAGGGGAGAAGGGAATGAAAGAAGCCATTTGTTTCTTCAAGTCACAGTATTTCTGTGTATTCATTTCCCTTTAAGCAGAAGACTCAAATCCTGGCCCACCTCCACGAGATGGAAAATTCCTTTTATGTTGCTGTTTAAAACATTAAAATGGTGATTAATTTTTTTATTTAATTTTATTTTTTGTTAGAAAAATCTAACCAGACCAAGGGCTGGTTATTGGGAATCTGTAGATGCAAAGATGGGTGGCTAAGTCTGGGGACTTGTAGCAAGGTAAAGAGATGCTGGAAGGTGTCTGGAGTCACCTGTAGTCAGAAGTCAGCAAATAGCTGGCCTGGCCCTGAATCAGAGTGCTCCTCAGCCTCAGGGAAGATCTGGGTAGAGGAGCGGGTGGACAACAGGATTCAGAAACCAGGCAGGGGATGGTCTGGAAGTTGAATGACTGCTGGGCTGAGAAGCCTGGTTGTAATTCAGGCCTCACTTAAATCATTATCCTCAAAAGTGTATTTTGTGAAAGTACCACGTATGGGAGGTGCAGAACCTGGAAGCAGAAAAGGCAATTAGGGGTAACAGGTCAGGATAAAACCAGCTCATGGTAGCTTTTGGCCTCAGCATCAGAAATGTTCTAGTGTACTTGCTTGGCCAGAACCAGGTACTGCCCCAAGCTAGCTGAAGGGCTGCAAGGAAGAGGCAATCCATGCAACAAGGCCTATATTAAAAAAAAAAAAAAAAAAATCAGCATGGAGCTAGGTTTCTCGCTGTCAGAGAAGGAAGTCACAAATTTGAAAGGGGGAAGGCTAGAAGGAACCTGGTGGTGGTGGTGGAGTGGAATTGGAGATATCAGTATAAATTTATGGTTACAAATATAAATATGGAGAGACAGAGAAATAGATATAGCCTAGAAGTAGTGACACCCTGGTAGTAATAAGCACACCTGATGTCCAGATCTTGGTTTCTAAATACCATTCTCTGCTAAAAGGAATCAGTGCTCCTTGGAGAAATGGCCGATTCCAAAGCTGGTGCTGGGCAGGTATAAGATGAGCCTGTGACATCTGTCTATGCCAGAAAGTAGGGAAGTGCTCAGTGAATGCTGGCGGCATGTCAAAAGAACAAAGGAGCCAGCCTGAAGGAGCTTCCACTGACCAAACTTGGGGCAATTTGAGTATCAAAATAAATAATGATAGTAACAGATTATAACCCACAGGATAAAATAAGAATCCATGAGTCTACACTTTAAATTTAAATATTTAAATTTGAATTGTTTTCTTTTGCTATAAAGAATATTAGTGGGACAACTGGCTAGATTTAAATAAGGTCTGAAAGTTAAAAATATATAGTACTTTATATATTAAGTTATAAATAAATATTATATATTAATAAAGTTATAAATAAAGTTAAAAATATATAGTACATCATATATATAGTATCAATATAGTACTATATCAATGTTAACTTCTTGATTTTGGCAATTATACTATGGTCACATATGAGATTGGAGTCTCTGGGTGGTGCAAACAGTTAATGTGCTCAGCTGCTAAATGAAAGGTTTGGAGGTTCGAGTCCACCCAGAAGTGCCTCGGGAGAAAGGCCTACTCATCTACTTCTAAAAACTCAGCCATTGAAAACACTATGGAGCGTAGTTTTGCTCTGACATACACAGGGTCACTATGAGTCAGAATCAACTCAATGGCAACTGGTTTTGTTTTGATTTTTGGTTTTATGTAAGCGATTGCCCTTGCGTACTTTAGGAAATACATACTGAAGAATTTAGGGATGGGATGGGTGATGGATTTGTTGGTGCCACTGACAATACTGAGCAGAGGAAGCAGTAGGCGGGATCAGCAGGTTGTGAGGAGGTTACTAGTCCGCTCTCCAGCCAGAGCTGCATAAACTTGCTACTCCTCTGAACTTGAGGAAGCTCAGGCCCAAGAAGGGTGGGCTGGATGCAGCCAAGGCACGTGCACTCATGCTCCTGGGTTGCCACCTTCCCTGTCCTTGGATCCCTCTGCCCTTGCCTCCCAGGAGCAGGTGTTAGGGGCCCAGTGTGGCCAGCTGGGTTCTGGGCTCAACCTTGGCCTCCCACAGTCCGAGGACAGGTGGGCAAAAAGGGCAGGACCCTTCACAGCACTTCAACCAGAATACCTCCAGTGTGTAAAACTGTTTATGAGGCCAAAAGCAAATGGATATTGATTTTTTATTTTATTATTATTATTTTCTAAAAATAAATGCTCCCCAAACCTGTGACATGATCTTTCACTGTGAAAGTCACTGCTACCTTTCTGGAAGGCCTGGCCTGTAGGGTCTCGAGAGCTGAACTGTCCAATATGGTAGCCACATGTGGCTACTGAGCACTTGAAATGCGGCTACTGTATTCTGAAACGAGATGTGCTGTAAGTATAAATACACACTGGATTCTGAAGTCTTAGCAAAGAAAAAAGAATGTAAAACACCTCAACAAGTTGTTAATCAATTATATGTTAAAATGATAATATTTTGGATATATCGGGTTAAATAAGATATTAAAATTAATTTATTTCTTTAAACTTTTTTAATGTGGCTACTAGAAAATTTAAAATTACTTATGTAGTTCACATTACATTTCTGTTGGGCACTGCTGCTCTAGAGGATGGGATTTTTATGGAATTAATCTAGATGTTAAAGGGCCATCTTCGAGAGGGGGCAACCAGAACTGAGCAGCTTTCTGGGTGAGGAAACATGTTAGGTGTGCTGGTGCCCTCGACGAATTTCTAATGACTTTTTAAAAATGATGATTGGCAAACTGTGAATGAACACCTGTGTTCTCACACCTCTGTTCTCATCTGTGACATGACCTC